ACAATACCTGTGGTACTCGCCTGCTGTTCATCCCCGGAATGCTTTGCTCTCGACGACAACAAGAGGTGTGTTGTGATAGAGGTTTGTTTTGAGGGACATCTTCGTATCCTGGCGTTAATGAGTCGAAGGAAAGGGTCGGTACATACACGCACGCACACGCACACACACACGCACGCACACACACGCACGCACACACACACACACACACACACACACACACACACACACACACACACACACACACACTATAAAAAGTAATCGCTTTTACAGTCATGTATTCTACACACACACACACACATGCATACACCCTCCACCACCACACACATACACACACACACACACACAAACACACACACACACACACACACACACACACACACACACACACACACACACACAAAGACACTATAAAAAGTAATCGTTTTTACAGATATGTATTCTACACACACACACGTATACACCCTCCTCTCACCACATACACACACACACACACACACACACACACACACACACACACACACACACACACACACACACACACACACACACACACACACACACACACACACACAAGACACACTATAAAAAGTTATCGCTTTTACAGACATGTATTCTACACACACACACGTATACAACCTCCACCCACCACATCACACACACACACACACACACACACACACACACACACACACACACACACACACACACACACACACACAACACACACAACACACACAAACAAACATCCCTATCACAGAAAAGGTTCCTGTATCACCATAGTAATTAATGCATGAGAATAATACCATTCATCTTGATAATAGGAAAGGATGGGAGAAACGGATGTGATGTTCCTCCTAAATAATTATGTTTAAGAATACAAAGAGCAATTGGAGTGAGTCTTACCTCGTCGTCTGTTACTCGTGAGTCAGTCAGTATGGACGAAGTAAAGCAAGTGAAGTCAGTAACAAACAAAGGAAGTAAAGTCAGAAGAGTAAGCAAAGGAAGTAAAGTCAGAAGAGTAAGCAAAGGAAGTAAAGTCAGTAGAGTAAGCAAAGGAAGAAAAGTCAGTAGAGTAAACAAAGGAAGTAAAGTCAGAAGAGTAAGCAAAGGAAGAAAAGTCAGAAGAGTAAACAAAGGAAGTAAAGTCAGAAGAGTAAGCAAAGGAAGTAAAGTCAGTATAGTTAGTAAAGTAAATATAGTAAATTAAGTAAAATTAGTACAGCAAGTCGAGATGTCCGCATGGCCGGTTGCCTTGCATGTCCGCGGCGTGGTGGGCCCGCGTGCGTACCAATGTCATCGAGCACATTTTTTCATTGATAATTTTAAGACCATTCATGTGTGGCTGGGGGCGTGTGAGTCGTGTGTATGTATGTATATAATTATATAGATATATAGATAGAGAGAGAGAACGATAGAACGATGTGCCAGCGCAGGCCGAGAAGGATCAGGCCAAGGCAGTGTTTGTCAGATCCTCAAACTGGATGAAATTTTCTTCAGGATCACTTTCATCAAAAGTTGGTACTAGAGGAGGTTCTTGCTTACTTCCAGCCAGCCCTGAGGAACAGTTTCCTTCAATAGTTCCCACAGAAACTCTTTCTGTGAGCTCTCCATTTCCACCTTCAGTTCCACCATCCTTACTGAGCCGCCTCCATTCCTATGTTGCTCTGCTGTCCACGGCATTACGGCAGTCTCCTCCAACGATTTTCATTCGGTTAATATTTCAATTATTGCATCTCTGATTTCCATGGTTTGTTTATTACTTCGACTTCACAGCCAAGCATCCGTACGTAAAAGAGTCCTGCAAGCCTGCAACATTTGGCCCTGCAATAAATTTATCAAAATTACATGAGACACAATTGCCTCCACTCCGAAATGTATTTTCTGTTGTCAAAATGAAATAGTATCCCGGGCAGGTCCCACTTATGCTGTGCATAATTTCACACAAGAATATTATTTAATATTTCCTTTCGGGGAGTCTCAGAGGCATCAGCATAAACTCTACCTAACTATTGAAATGGATCTTTAAGTCACTGATGCCTTTCAGCCCACTTTCCCGGTATTTTGGAATGAATGATAGCAAAAGTTGAAATATAAATCCTATAGTTTTTAAGAATTCAGAATGAAGACTACGGTATGTTACCTAATACAGAGTGAGGTAGGTACACCAATAACCACTTAATTTTTTATTTAATCAGCATTTCGTACATCCAGAAACAGCCTAACAAAACTGGAGCAGCAGGGAAAGGACTCCGAGGCATAGACCGCCTTGGCCACAGAAAGTTTCCAGAAGCCAGCGTCCAGCCCCTTGCAGAGGCCAGCTGCGACACCAAGACAGGGACGCTACTCTGATACTACAAACCAGTTGCATCCACAGTGTCAAAACAATGTACAAATATATATAATTATACAGTGGCATGGTTATAATAATCACACTTTTTTTCAAATCCATAACTATAACTTAAAAAATTTCCATTTACATTTTCTTAGCTATAAACATTAAAAATAGACGCATGGCAATACGCCGCTGTGTGCTCCAAAGTCAAGTTTGAGCTCTGCTTAACACTGTGTGTGTGTGTAGAGAGAGAGAGAGAGAGAGAGAGAGAGAGAGAGAGAGAGAGAGAGAGAGAGAGAGAGAGAGAGAGAGAGTGTGCGTGTTTCTGTCATTATTTGCTGTACATATGTGACACGAGTGAAAAAGTAAACAACATCCTTCTCCTGGAACCCACTTTCATAATTTTCTCCCTCATCTTTTTCCTCACATCATCAGAACTTCGCTCGTTCACATCTGCCTGAGGAGTAAACTTCGGCGGGAGAGACTGTTCCAAATTTCCCGATTGACTCTGGTTATCCTCAAAGTTCACTCCAAAAATGACAAAAGGAAAAAAGAATAGGGGGAGAAAAGAGGAAAACCCGCGTGTCACACATGTCGTAAATTTGCAGTCACGGTCGAAAATGATGAGATGTTATGACTTTCTTCATCCGGGAATCTGAAGTGAAAGGAGGAAGTCGCGTCGAGATAACATTTTACGCGGAACCTGGTGAAACTTTTTTTTTCACTCATTTTCCTTTCTTTTCTTTTCTAATAGAAGGATGACTCAATTAGGATTAGTCATCACTGGTATCTTAGGATGGAGCTGTGTGAGCGTTAGGTATGAGTAATCATATTTCAGTCTTCAAATAGAATGAAATATGCTATTTAACTTTCAGGAAAAGGGTTAAAAAACAAATATCGTATGCGCTTTACACAAATCATATCATCAGCTTTAGAAACTGAAGAGGAAATTATTAAGATAATAATGATAATAATAAAACAAAGGATATGATACAAGACTGCCTACAACAATGCATCATAAAATCCACACGCGTTCTATGC